ATATTCGGCGTCCATTCCTCCACAAGTAGAAGTGCATCCCCAAGGGATCGGCAGACCCGAAGGACACTGTGTTACTGATGAGCCTGCAAGAGCGAACGGGCCGGTCTAGTACTGTATAAATGCCCTGCTCGACCTCACAAAACACTCAGAACAAGTTATGTGATTATCAGATTATTATTGCTTTCGAACGAGTTCTATAAAAACAGCCGATGAGGAGGTATGATTGATGATTTTGTTTCGAAATTATGAAGGTATTTGGCTGACTTGATTGCTGTCAACTTGATCTTTTCAGTCTAAGGGAAAACAAAGTCGTCCGAACGTCAGCTGTTATTAATAAGTTGTATAATAACAACCTCGTGTTTTTCCATCGAGAAAAACAATGATCGACTGATCAATGCCAAGTTTAGTAGAAGCCAGTTCTGGAAGATCGTGTTATCGATTTGACTGTTTGACAGTGTTTCACAGAGAAAGCTGCCGATTTTTCACTAACTTTTCCATCGATGATTTCGGTATCACCAGATGATTTATTTGAAATCTTTGCTAATAGATCTATTCGGTCCATATGAAAGCTAGAAAGAAGCAAAAAATTTGAAAAGCAGGCTATTGCACCAACGCTGAACCACCAGCGATAAAAGAAGCCTTTGTAACAGGAAAACCACAAAGGGCATAGACAATTTTTTGAAATGGTCTTTTTCTAGTCTACCTTTGCTATCGCTCAACTCCAATGTTTACCGCTACCATATGGCTATTCATCATCGTCACACTAATAACAGCAATGTTACCTATAAAACACTTTCTTACCTATATTAGCATGCAAAGCATCCGTTGTTGCCTTACCACTGCATCCCAAAACTCCTAGTCACGAGGGCACGTGATGTGTGATCAGGTGGGTGACAGAGTTTTAAATGCAGTTTAAAAGCAAACAAAATTTTGATATGCGTGACAGACATTTCAAGTTGGCCTCCAACTAATGCACATTCTGCCTCCTCCCGGAACATTGGAGAAGCTACTTGTGAGTATGCCAGCTTTCCATTGAATCGACTGTTTTTAAAACCTCGTTATAAACATTCAAAATCAAATCCAAAAAAAAGAAGAATAGTTTTAGCCTAAAACGAGGTTGGTACGCCAGGGCCATACACCGGTGTTTCGGAGGCTCGTCCTCCTCGTCAGTGACCCCCGCCCCACATTAAGCCCTGCATTATAGTAAGGAGGGCTCCGAAACACCGGTGTATGGCCCTGGCGTACCAACCTCGTTTTAGGCTAAAACCATTCTTCTTTTTTTTTGGATTTGATTTTGAATGTTTATAACGAGGTTTTAAAAACAGTCGGGCCCTATGCCAGCTTTGTCGTGATAACCCTATGCCAGCTATCGGATTAGAATTTCACAGAGATCGATGAAATATCAAAAGGTCAACTAATAATTGCCAAAAGATTCTATTCCTGGAGAGAAATAAATCTATAAAGAAGCACACGTAAGCAGTGGAGTAATCAACATCCGGCTGCTAGCCGCTAGAGTCCTTTAGTGATGAGAGAGACTATAGATGACGGAAGTGAATCGAACACAATTTTGCAGGCTAAACTTCTCTCCCAACCGGATTCGACTTATTGGTATTTGATAAAAATAGAAGAGAGATATGAAAAATAAGCTAAATCTTGTTCTGCTAAATGGAAAGAGACGATGCCGGTTGGAAAAATTTCACGATATTCTTTCGGAATGGATTAATGTTTGTTGTAACCATGATAATCCAGTAATTGTGCTCTTTAAACACAATACAGTGCTTGAATCCGGACGAATTTTTCAATAAATTCGTCTTCTTCCTTGCAACTTGGAAGATTAGTATTTCAAAGCTTAGCCGATTCAGCTAATTGTTCCCATATTCCAAATGAAGCAACAGCAAAGTAAAACTACAGGAAACAGTAAGACTAAGTGTCTCGATCAATCAATGCCAGAAAACTTTACAAATTACAGCGCTCACTTCATCGAAGTGTAATCACCGCCTGCACGTGAGCTTCTGTCAAAAAACCAATCGAAATATCGAAGCAGCCGATGATCGTCTATTCATCTCCTAAAAGTTCACTTCCGGAATTTCGGCGTTAATAAAAGTACACCGAGGCGTTCTTTTGTGTATGCACAAAGCGGTCTTTCAGTTCAACGAACATATTCGTCATCGCTTTTCAAATGAAAATCCGGATAATTACTATTCGAATAAGTGGAGCTTGCACTTCTTTAGCCATCAAATTGTTAAAGGAAAAAATTTGATCTTGACACCTTAGCCTTTTATCTCATTTCATAGCAGCCATCATTAGTCGAAGACAATTTGATGCCGGACTCTTGAATGTTACATTTATCTGCCGATGAGATGGAAATTTTTTGCACAGTCATATTCAAATAATTCATATCTAAATCTCGCTAATCTTTTAGAGATAATTTCGGCAGAAGATTTATTGTTAATAACTTTACGATATGCAATTTTCGAAGTGCTTGAGAAATGTAATAGTTGGTTATTGCGAGCATAAACAAATATATTAATGAAATAGGCTTTCGTATACCAGTTCGCTCAACACTTTTTTGCTCATGTGACGTATTAAAGCGACTATTGCTGTCGCACAGGCACTCAAAAAGTGATCAATGTCGATCGAGTACTTCCTCTATTCTTTGGATTTTGTCTTCCTTCTTAATATTGCTGACCTTTGGATTCGCAGCTTGTAATTCCTCTAAAAGTGCTTGAGAGAACGAACGACTTGTCCAAATGTAACACACTTTCCTTTCCATCAATTGATTTCGGCGTTTTTGAATGTATAAAACAAAAACCTTATTGGTATCACTCTCCCTTCTCGGCTCTTGGATTCACCTCCTCTGGGAAGAGAAAAGAATGCGGAAAATTGAGAGCAACCGTCAAAGAGTTTAACGAACGGATTTATTATAATGATTTTCTTCGATTTTTCTGTCGATTATTAATTTGTTTTCGAATTCCACTATTCATCTGGTTCAATTCTAACTCCTATTGTAATAATTATCGTAACCGTAATTATTCTCTACTTTCAGTGAAAATAAGTTCAATGATTGAGCTAATACCACTGGGTTAATATGAAAAGAAAAACTTTTTTCGGCATAGTGTATTGTTTTTTGTTCTCGAGCTGTGGATCCTCGTTGTCGTTCGAATTGAAAAGAACGAACACCTGCAGACAATCGACTTAAAATCATCGGCTCTGAAGAAGACGAAGACTTTGAATCTTCAGCCGATTGAAGTGTTTTCTTTACCAATCTCGTGGTATCTGCTTAGCCATCGAAAAGATTTTAGAACTGGGTTCAACGATCAGTTCGAAAAGAGCGCGGATCAAACGTCGCCGGAAGAATACAAGCACAAAGAGTCAAATTCTCGCTATCAGGTGTATAACCTAAAAGGATCCTAATTTACTACAAAAACTCAATAATTATCAACGAGGGTCGCCCAGAAGTATGCCATCACAAGTAAAAGGAGCATAAAGCGTTCGCAGTTTATCAATTTCACGGAGATACGCCAAATATTTGGCTTCATTAACACATTCGTGACACTTGGCTGCTATTGGCATCACGTGCATTTTGGATCTTTCGAGTCTCTCATAATAACTTCAATGCTACTCTGAATTAAATCGGACTAGAACTCAGCCCTTCATAACAACTTCTTCAACCCTTCAGTTCTTTTTGAGTCCTTTTTCCACTAAGTGAGCCGAATGATAGAGCGATTGTTTCAAAAAACTTTGTCGTTATTCTGCTGATTACTGATTACTAATAAGTACTGTTTTCTGTGCCACAGAAATTTGTAAGATTAAATCTTGACCAGAATCGTCGTGGTTCAACTTCTCACGAATGGCGATTGACCGATGCACTAAGCCAGTTCTTTTATGTCTCCAGACTTGTCGTTACAATTGCCGACATCGCAGGAATGCAGTGCTTGTTGAGTCAGAGCTCAGGATTGAGCCAGAATCCAGTGTATCTAGAGGAGCGTCTGACCACTATAGTAAACGTAAATTCACATTGACAAACCATTCAAAAATTCTAAACATTCATAGATATAATTTACTTCGATATTCTATGTGTTCCATTGTTTTTCCATCTTTGCACCTCATAGTACTGTATTCCATTGTTCCTTTTTCCTTCTACAGTAACTACAACAGATTTGCTCATCGTCATTTCAGTGTGTTGTTTTGGAAAAGAGCATTAGTTTGCTGAACCGGTTGGATGCATGCGTTAGTTTTTCTGTTTTATTTCCTCACCATCAGCAAACCGCTATTCTTCCTTGTTTACACAATCTTCGCAACTCATTTCTACCGTAGCACTCTTTTAGTATGAACAACATATTAACGTCAAAAGCTACATTTTCCTCTCATACACTGTTTTATATCCTTGTTTATTCAATAGCAGCTGGATATCTATCCACTGCTGTCGTTATTAGATCTCAGCAAATTTATTTGATGAAGCCATTACAAATCATTATAGATTGTTTGAGTTCTCAAACTTCTTCACCATTAAACTCATCGATAATTTTACAAAAGAAAATTTCCATAAAGAGTGAAAACTAGCATGAGTGTGGCCTTGTTCCGATCAAGACAGACTTGCCATTAGAGTTTTATATTCTCAATAAAGTAATTCCGGGGCAGATGCCTTGACAGTGTCTTACTTGGTTAGACAATGATTAGTTCCGTTTCAAGAGTGGCGAAATTACGCCATGAATGAATGAAATGTTTGCAGAACAGGTAGTATCAAAAAAGTTGTGGTATGGATACCTTTTTCTTTTTCACTATGCGTAAAAGGGGGACAGATGGGATATTGATGCAGTCTGTCATTTTTGAAGCATTTTTAAAGGTGCTGGTTCAATTCCCTCTTTCTAAGGATCCGTTGCGATTAACACCGGAACACTCATAGCTTGATTATTTCCAAAACTGCTAGGAGAATTGTCCTGAGCAACCATTCATGGAGAAGGCGAATTCTTAACGGTGTTGAGTGAGGTGCAAAATTTTGACCTCAAGCGGGACTCGAGCCCTCATCTCACCCATTCCCAGGGGCGCGTGCTTAACCAGTTGCACTACCGACGCCTGTTTAGTCAGCACTCTTCCTACGTTACAGCGCATCTATCTGTCAGCAATCAACCGAAAGCAAAATCCTCAATCAGAAACCGAAAGAGCCCGCGAAATGCTCGAAGAACTTTGAGGATCGTGGATGGCGAGGAAACGAGTCGAATCCAAGAAATGCTAGAGGATCCGCATACCGGATTGTGATAACGAGTCTTCTGAAACAAAAATAAACGCGGAAAAGACATTCTTCCCATTCTCCGTCGAATCTCTCCTATCCGTTTTCCGTCCGTTTCCGCCCGTGCTCAGACCACCGACGATGCTTCCGCAAGCGGCTGTCGCTCGAGGCGCCGCGACGTCGCGTTTATCAGCAGAGCGGAAGCGCGATCGATTCTCGACCGTGGTGCCCTCCTCAGTGTGCTGTCGGTAGAACAACCGCAATCAAAGGGGGCCTTTTTGATCTCCTTTTGATCTTCCTGAAGCATCCAATTCCCTATTTTAATTCAAAAATGTTTGAGAATTAATCCTCTATTTCGCTGTTTTCAGCATTCCTTTCGTGTGTTCTCATTCAAAGGACTGCTCTTCGCTAATTCGGCATGTGTATGTGTTTGTATTTGACTTTTTCTCAGCGATCCTGACTTCATTCTTTTCGGATAGTTCCCCTTTTTCGGGAATAAAGTGATATATCGAATATATTGTCATTTGAAGTCATACGTAACTCATATCACGTGTATCACCTCTCATCCCGTTGACTGTCTAGTGACTCGGGCGGCCACCCAGGCGAAATTTCCATTTTTACCCTATCGTCTGCTACAGTACCCCGATGGGTCCTTCTGAAGGAAGGGACTCTGAGATTTTGAGCACCATATCTTTCTCCGAGGTTTTTCCGTGTTTTTCCGTAAACAAACTTGACCATCAGGTCGATGGTCTTCCTGAGAGACGTTTGACGTCTAAGCAATGAGTATCGTATCCTTCTTCGAGGCTCTTCGTAAAGGAATCGGACCATCAGGTCGATGGTCTTCCTGTGAGACACTTGCCGTCTAAGTAGTACGTATATCACCTGTATCACCTGTCCCGGTGATTTGAGTGACTATAGGCGGCACCAGCAATGCTTCCATCTTTACTTTATCATCTGCTACAGTAGCCCAGTGGGTCGTTCCAGCTGTAGCAAATTTGAGATTTTGAGCATCGTATCTTTCTTAGAGGCTTTTCGTGAAGGAATCGAACCATCGGATCGGTGGTTTTCTTGTGAGACGTTGATTATCCTAGTGATACTTATATCATGACCGAACCTTACATCTGAAGAACACGGTTCTGAGGAGGGCGAAGTCGCCGAAATAGCAGCCATGTACTCGGAAAAAGACACACCAACCTCGCGCAAGTTTTAAATAAGGTTCAGTTCTTGAAATATGCTTGTGATGCAACCAGCTTCGGCATCATGAGTGACTAGTTAAAGAATGATGATTTTTGGCGAGAGATAAATAAAGAAAGAGGAAAGAAAGCAAGAGAGTGAGAGGATTAAGAAGAAGAGAGAGAGAGGAAGCCCTTAAGTATATGAAGAACAATCTCTCTAGCCACAGTTGATCGGCGTTTTCACCTAATTGTACCTGAGACAGTCACCTACATAATGACTCGTGCTAACACGTCGTACAAGCTCGAGCAACCCTTTTTATCCGGTTCATCGACCTTCGACTGTTATCCATGAAAGTGATCGAGTTCACATGTGGATTCAGCTGCGCTTTTTATCCTCATTGGTATACCGAAGTTGGGTGAGCCTAGTCATTATTTCAATCCTGAGATATCCCGAGATGTACGGGGTCATTTCCGGGTATGCAAGAGAAACAGTGGTCAGTTTTTCTTACCGGAAGGAGGCTCGCCGACTCGTTGCGATCGGGATGTGGATTGTTTTTGGACGAAATCGTCCTTTCGGACGTCTGAAGACCGACGTCTTAGGTGGCGATTGAACAAGTCGGTATTTTGGCCTTTGATTTTCACATGATTGTGTAAATAGTATTGATAATTGATACTCTTCTGATTTCTATCACAGGCTTCATGTTAATTTTTCCAGGCCATCAATTTTTGGTTACCTTTAAAAGTGTACAAAATTTTTTCACTTATCTTTCTAATCTACAAATTTTCAACTTCGCTTTCTTCTTTCTTTTTGACATTTTCGCTTTTAAACGCACACGAAAATGCGCTGCTAATAATGCTGTTTTCTGCCTTTTTGTTTTTCTTCGTTGGCCTTTTGTCCGTACAAATGTTCCGTTTTTCGAGCCCTGTCATTCAGAATCGTCATTCAGCATGTGTTTAGGAACTCTAACTTACTCATACTTGATTCCTTTTGATCGTCTTTCTCGCCAGTTTCTGTCAAAAAAACTGGGATACTCAATATTGTGGCGTGTTTTCATGCTTTCAACTCATTTCACTTTGGATTTTTATAAACGAAATTTCATGTCAAGTAGTAAATAAAATCGCTCTCCATCCACACCATCAACGAACATGATATTGCAGCCAATTATTATAAATAATCTTTCATTCTCCGACCTCATTGCCGTTGTAGTTATTGATAAGCTCCAGTCCATAAAAGTACAAAAATCCATGAAAGCAGGTAACCAACCCTTTTTTTTTATCTTCTATCTCCCTTATCGTTTGGCGGCAGGTGTGGTGTCGTTGATACTTCCAATCAGTACATCGCTCTTATCTTTTCCTCTCAATCCTAGGTTTTTCTAGTATTCTGCGGTATATTGTCATCTATTTCCTGTCGATACGATTAGTTCGGTGTGCCGTTTGGACATATAAATCATATTTGTTTTCCTGCTTCGGTTATCAGCTGTCATTCGTCCTAGCAGAGTTCTTGAAGTACGATCTAAATGTGAATAAACTATTCTTTTAACATAATACATTAAATTATACAATGTTCACTGTTGTTGTCTGTTATGTCCTTTGAAGTGGTATACTGTAATTGTAATTTTTATAAGTGAATGTTGCTCCATGTAAAACATGTCACTCTGACAGCATAATTTAAGCCGTTTACGAGGTCTGTTATGGCCTTTATAGTGCTGCAACGTTCAGCCTTTTGGCCTTATCAGTAGCTCGGTGCCCTTCGGTTCAGCCAATCCCTTTCAGGCTCTTTACCTCCCATATACAAAGGAATTGACGCCGATTTATTTACACTGCCTATAAGATTATACTACATTCTAGCGATAACAAATTATTGCAAGACAAGTGATGAGATCACGTGACATTGCAGTGATTAATAGTCGATTGTTCTTGGTTGGGAATTTGAGTAATATCTTTATATTTAAGACCTCGCCCAGAGTTTAATGCATTTTGACAGTATGTCTTGTTATTTACAAAACTATACTGAGGTTATCAAACAAGGCCTATATAGCATTTTTGGTACTAATAGATATGTTTCATATTTCTTCTTCCTTTCCAATTGAGCCTTGCATCTTTATAATAAATTATCCTAATATTTAGTGCTAGTTTTTAGAAAAGTACTGTTCAGCGTGGTTTTTTTTGAAGATTTTTATAATAAATAGTCTGTAATCTCGGTAATAATGGAGTCACTAAAACAATCATCAACGATCACTGGAGGATCACGAGACGCATCGGACCCTCTAGGGTTCTATCATGATGGACTGGGTCTCCATTAATTATGAGTATCTTGTTGCATTCTTCAGAAGTAAGCCTCGAGGGGAAATGGTTGTAGAAAAGATTTAATCGCCCTTCAGCAAATCTGTAAGTCACCTGATTGCTGAACGGGCTAAATCGATGTTTGAGGAGCAATCCTATCACACGTAGACTTATCATTACACTTTGCTTAGGTATTATGACATCTGTAAAGAATGTATGGATCGATCTGGCACAGTTTCGAATATTGATATGGTCTCTTCTGATTTATTTTCAACTTCTTTTGTGCTAGATGAAAGCTGTGAGCTCAATAGCCACGCGAATTACCTACGCGAGATCCTGTATATCACTTAGGTCAGTCAAACGTCCATAGAAATATATATTTTTTGCCATGCATTTTATGCTATATTAATTACAAATATGAAAGATATCTCGTAGGTTTAAAAATGTTGTTGTATGACTAAGACTTTCGATTTTCCGCAGTTCACACATTAGACATCTGCGTTCTGTGACTGTTATTGTTCTGGTAGAAGATCTTAAAATTACTGTGTGCATGTATGGATGTTCCTGACCGTGTCTACTTGGAGACATGGATGATTTATGTTCACAAAATACATTGATTTCCATGTGAAGTTTCCCATTCGTATCGTTTCTTACTAGAGCGTCGTCCAGGAAAGTGGTCTGTTTTGTGAATGTTTATCTCTATGTCCACAGCTCCGTTAACTAAGGAATACAAAAGTCTGTTCAATTTCTGGAGTGTGTCGCTAGTGGAAAGAATCTTCTCTTGTCGGTCGGCAGTAATACGCTTTTCTTTAGCGATGTTTTCGGTTGAAAGGGAAGAAGTGAATCTTCGGCCTCAACTGCCGTACAAGAATTTTTCATACGAATGTTAATTATCATTTGAAAGCTCAAATCCTTGGCTAGAGCCGTACGTCGCTGGTTGTGGAAAAGACCCTTTTATAACACTGTAAAGTTCAAAATAATATTGTGTTTTATGCGCGCATATTTCTCTCCGGATAAAGCTCTATTTTTAGACAATTTGTAATCATTCGATAGCGTATGTTTCAGTGATATCAACGTTGAGCTTATTTTTTGAAAAGACCGTTTTTCTGCAGTGTAGCAGGAAAAATAAGATCAAATTCACATACGCGGACGGGCACAGGCATTTTGCTTATTTCTTGGGGGAGAATACGGGGCTCAGGGCGGAAGCGCGGGCCATAGGAAAGTACGATTTTTGTTATTTAATTAAGGAATGTTTCTCCGCTTCAGAAGAAACTCCAGATTAAATGTGTGGCTCTATTACTAAAAGATTTCCTCTACACACCATGTGCTTTTCGTGTTTCCAGCAAAGCAATAGTTGAATTAGGGGGGGGGAGGGGAAGGAATGGAAA